AAATAGGAGTGTGGATGGCTATGAAATGGTGACCTACACCTACGGGTTGCACCAGCAGATGGAAGTTTAGCCATGTGCTACGTGGCTTTTATTGAATAGATGCAAAGGGATGGGGTAGACCTTACTTTGGCTATGACAGAGACAGAGGGCCAGGTATTCTCTGCTTAGGTTGCTAACCTGAGTTACGAACTCTCAACTGAAAGAGCAGTGAAGGTAAGTTAGCTGAACTTATTTTTCTTCAACCGTTTAAGGGGAAATAGACAACTCATCTGTGTTACCTGCAGGTAACATCTCTTGGCTCTCCCACCCCTTTCTTTCTGATTTGGCTGAGATTTTTAATAATTATCCAATGCAATATGTAAATTCTGGATTGGATGATAAAATATGAGCTGTTTCTCCTACTTGTCACATCATTAAATTACAGCAATAATCAACTGAACTATATTAAGGCAAAAATTGCAAGAATTTGAATGTGTATAATGTGTATATTTCTGTTCATTTAGATTACACCAAATAAAATTTGATTAAAAAGAAGAGGAAGAAAATTGAATTACTTTAACTGATTATGCAGAGAAATACCAATTTCAGCTTCCTATTGTGTTTTTTTTTTATTTTTTTTTTTAACTTCTCTCATCCCCCAAGTGGTTTTGATGGCTTCTGTAGGTGGGAAACTTTGTGATGAGAAAATTCTTTCCATAAGGGAAAAAATACACATTTTGGTAAACTTGTATAAAAACACATAACTTCATTTCTAGTAAAATCTACAGTCACAACTCAAACTGGAAGCAAGACTTTTTCAAAATGAAAGCTTAAATTTGTTTTAAAATGCACATTTACACAGTATTTAACTTTGTATTTCTTCCTTTTGACATTGGTATTAAAACTCCAGTCCTTATTTACACTTACTGGAGTGGGAAGTCGGTGGAGCCCAAGAGGACTTGCATTTGGCTCTGTCATAGACTTTCTTCAGATGTAGGATTAGTTATCAAGTCTTTCCCTCCATTTTCCTCTCCTAGAAAGTGGGAAGACTTGCCAGCCTGCTGAGGGCCTCATGAGAAAAAAGTCATCAGAAATGTGTTCACTTAGGGAGGGAGACATGTGGGTCTCTTGAGTTTTGAAATCTTTTCTTTTTCTTTACCCTGGAGATATCTTTAAAAGTTAATTTCAGCCTGCCAGGGTGAATTTGAAGTGTTTTAATGCTGTGACATGTGCAGTGCCATTACAGACATTTAAAGAAATGCTAACCAACTCTTTGGCTTGTCACTGCTGTCAGACCACTTAACTGCCCTCTGAACCAAATTCTTATGATGGCAAAAAAAAGCCTCTTTGAACTAGCTTCATTTTAGCTTAATCCCTGCTTAAAGCAAATGAGCTATTGCTAAAAATCAGCTGATTCATTAGTAAAGTGAAGAAGAGGAAGCCATGGAAGGCAAAAAGACACATTATGGCTGATCCTAATCTGTGGAAAGGCATTGATCAGAGACAGTGTGTCAGGGACACAAATCAGTTCAGTGTTAAAATCCCTGGGCTGCTCAGTGGGATACAGGAGTTTTAACTAAAAATTCTGTGTCCTGCATTAAGAAGTCCATGGCAAAAATTCCCCAGACTTTCTGATGTGATAACCTGGGGGTGGCACACCAATACACTCAGAATGTGACATCAGGAGAGAAACTTGTACAAATGAGGGCAAGGTCTGCTTCTTTGCTGTGTGGAAACTGTCCAAGGACGTAGGATTCACTGTGTTTACATCTTTCAATTGATTTTCAACATGCAGATGTAAAATTCCCCTCAAAATGTGTCAAGTCTTTATGAGCTAGAGTTCCCACTAGAAATGGACAAGGCCTTGGGGAATTATTTATACAAGTTATAAAGACAGCCATTGGTGAGAAGTGTCCAGGTGGAGCAAGGTAATTTGTAAAGTAAGGGTAACTTTCTGTGAAAATAAGGAATGGGATAAACCCAGTTCCTCCGTGAGAGAGAAGCTGAGATCAGACATTATTACTTTTTGGAAAAAAATATCGGGGTTACACATGAAGGAGTTAAATCAAAACAGGCATCAGACCAAAACTAGCATTTATCAGTGGCTTGTGAAAGGCTTAATAGGAAGAACATGTGAACTTAAATGGTTAGCTCTTGAAGAAGACTTTGACATTACTAGCTTTTGTGAAACATGGTGGTATGGCAAAAATCAATGGGAAACTTTAGTACTTGGCTATAAAACCATAAAGGAAAGAGTTTCAATTTAAGTGATGAGGGAATAGAACCTCAGCTAGAAAGATCTCCAGAAAGAAAGACTGCAGAAGTCAACAACTCTACAGCAGAGTTTACAAACAAGCTTAAAACATTGCATGCAGGAATACAAATAGGTTCCAGTATTTTTCACATTCAGAAATGAACATTTTTACCGTCTTAATTATTCTTTTATTTAAAAACTTGTTCAGTGAAAGCCTTTTGTAGGTACAGCCTGTGACTCTGCAGTTCTGCCTTCTGCAATCTGAAAGCCTTCTATCCAAAAATCTGCTCATGTAGAGATTAATATGATAGCAACTGGCAAATCTTATTTTCAACTGGCTAGTCCCTTTGGAGGCAAACCAGGTGGCAAACATAGTTATGTGGGAAACTGGAACAGATGATCTAATAGTCATTGCAGTTTCTTACTTAACATACGTGACTTCTGCCTGGGGTGAACTCATGTGCAGAAGGAGAAATAGGCCATCTCTTCACACGATTCTGGTTATGACAGGCTGCCCTGATCTGCTGGTCCTAAACCACATTACACATGCTTCTGGTCCTGCCTCCCAAGGCTGGCTGCCACTCAGATAGCAGGTAGAGAAGCAAATTAAACTATGGAGGAAGGAGGGTGAGGACATGATACACAGACAATCTTGTCATGGTGGAGGTGGGGGAAGCAGTCACACTAATATGTGAAAACCGGCTGTAACTGGTGGAAAAAGAAAAAAAAAAACCAAACAACCCAAAACGTAAATGGTGCCAATTAAAGTGATTACTTCTTAATGATGTGTGTTATAACAAGGAACTTCATCTGTTAACATATGTCTTTTATTGGAAGAAAGATGCACTCTAATAGTCAGGAGACATGATGTTGCACAGCTTAAAGTCTTCCTATCTGCATGTAATATTTTTCTTTTTTCTCATGGGGTGTTCCTGAAAGATCCTGTTGCAAAAGAAACCTTGACCAAACAATCAACTGGTTGATTTTTCAAGTCTTCAGCAGCTTATGTAAAATAAGTACAGACAACCTTAAATTTGTAACAAAGGAAAGTAAACAGTAACTTGCTAGGGGATTTATTTAATCTATATATTCAAACTGACAGTCCTCTGAATTTCAGTCTTCACTTCTTGAGAAAGACGAAAATTTCCATAGGGTTCATGTTACTGGTTGATTCAGAATGCCTATTATAATTGTGAAATACTGGTAGGAATGGATTGAGATATATTCATGACAGTAGGTGGACTAATGGAATTCAGTGACTTTATTTAAAATGTGCAGTAGTTTATTATAATACTGTAATAGAAATGTCATTTACCCTGACGGGAGGAGAAGGAAAAGCCCTGTCAGTGAATAATAATGAAGTTATTTAAATGTCAAGTTTCTTGCAAATAGTTTGCAAAATATAAATTGTTCTACATGTTTCTAGTTTTGATTTAATTTATTACTCGGGGAAGTCAAAGCTTCAGTCCCACAGTTTGGTATGTTTTATACTGTCAAATGAACTAGTAATAATTAAAATATTTATCATCTTAGGTGTTTGCAGAAATCATTCTCCTTTACTGAAAAAATAGGGAGTCTGATTCTAAACAGCTACTGGTAAAATTTGGGATGGATTTAATGGAATCAATTACAACTGAAATGGTGGGGCAGGTATGAAGTTCAGAACTGAGTCCAAATACTCTGTTTCTGAATATTATTATTTTACTAAGTATCATCTGCATTTCAGTAACATCCACAATGTCCTAACACATACCTATGTTTTTCCATAGTTAGACTTGCACATACATCAAATCTCTCTCCAGACCTTCATGTTTCAAAATCACCTGGATTTAATTTGACTTAGCCTGTAACTGTACCGAGCCAAATCAAGACAAAATGAACCAATTTACACAGGGATTTAAATTAATGTGATGAGACCTGAATACAAACACCCATCCCCCAAACAATCTGAGAAACCAGTGCAACATGCATGTCTGCACAAGATCTAACAAAACAGAGCTTTTACTGTTACACGTAGTTATTGCCATAGCTGTGGCCTTTCAGCAGATGGTTCAGAAGGAATAGAGTTTCATTTTTGTGTTTTCAGCTCTACAGATCCTGGGTTTAGTCCTTTCAGATGATTTATCCAGGCATTTGCTTGCTCTGCTCATGTTATACAGATGCATTAAAAGAGTTGTCTCCACAGAACTTCAGAGAAGCAACTTACCACACAAAGTGTGGGACATGTTGGTTGATACGTATCCATTCCCCTTCAGATAACTGGGATTGAATTCGCTGATCCTATGCTGCTGTTACTGCCTACACCTTGCTGAGGTGTATCTGTGTTTTGCAGCACTTCTAGGTTAGGCTGGCTTCCTGGATCACCAAATGACTGATACGTTTTCATGGGTTAGGAATCTCATGCTGCTTTATACACCCATTTAATAAGACAAATGAAGAACTCATTATCCAGGCTGCTAATCAACGCCTGCTTGTATACATATATGTAGTAGGAATAAGATGAATGAAGGGTGGTGATACCCCTGGGTTAGATCCCAACAGAGGCTTCATGTCTACATGGTATTTCATTCAATTCTTTTGGTCTCTTAGGCTGTATGCATGTATCTATCACCATTTCTTTGTGTTAAAGCACTTCTAGGTGTTTATCTGTGGTTGAATAACATTTACCGCCCTGTTAAAATTAAAAGTAATTGTGAAGTGCAAGAGAAACAACAACTTGTAACTGGGCAGGTAGAAGGACTGGCTACTGCTAGTTTTGAACATGATAATGCGAGTAAGATCTAATAGTAGCTTTTTTGATTGCCTGTGTATTTGTTCATATGCAAAAAGCTAATGTTTTTCTAAGCTTTCCAGTCTTTCAGTTGTTTTTATAGATGTTGACAGAAGAACAAGCTTCCATCTGTATATAACGTTACCTGTAAATAAAGCTACGAATGCAAAATAATTGCCTAGAGATTTGAAGTAAGAAATGGCTGGCAATTCTGACTAAGATTACCATTTGCAATAGGCCTTCGACATCTGTTCGCCTGTGCTGTGGCAGGGGTACTGACAGCTTTTCTTTAACAATTTCAAAGCAAGTTTTATGTGTCAGATTTTCTTCACTCTTATCCCCTTTTGAAGTGTCCCGTTTTGAAATCACTGCGAAGAGCTGCATTAACTCATTAATGTATTTTTTCCTAACTCAGCAGTTCAGATATAGCCCTTGCATTCTTTACATGTCTTTATCAGCCCAAACTTCACAAAGGGTAATTTTAGTTTAAGTCAGGCTGCAACAGAAATACTCATTTCTGAAAAGGCTGGGTGGTGAGGTGGACAGGGTAACCAAAGTGAACCAGCAGTCCTTGGCAGGGCTGTGTTCAGCATTCTGCTGTGGCTCCTTCACCTGAGTGCTAGAACATCTCTGAAATTTTCAATAACAGAAGTAACTATAACAGCATTCTTCTCAGTTCACTGAGGAAATAGCTCGGTTAGTTTATATGTGCTCCTGAGAGATGACCTTATAAAGGGAAAGATCAATCAGTAGATGAGAATTTGACATTAGTGTTCTAACCAACAAAGGTCATATACGCATGCATACAGGGGTGCATATGTTTATTGGGGGGAAAGGAAAAAGCTATGCTTGTAAAGTATAGGTTGATTGTTATATGACCAAGACAGATACATGCAAATGCTTCAATAAAGTTTCTGAATAGAAAGACTCAACTTTAATGCAAATCCACATTTTAGTGCAATTCATCCTAATGGGTTAAACCCCAAGCTGCTGCCTTCTTGTTTTAATCCTTCAGATTGCAAAATCTGAAATCCCGGAATCTGGTATGAATGTTGGTGTAGACCCTGATCCGGGAGTGTAACACCCTCCACAGTCTGCAGAAAAATAAATACATTTGTAGACATTAAGTATCTTAAATACCTTTGTGAGTATCTTAGATACCTTTGTGAATTTAGCCAGCTTCCCAGATAGGAGAGAACCTGTAAATAATGGGTTCTTAGGGTTTACTTTAGAATGACTGGTTTTGAAGTGATTAGCAGAAGGGAAAATTCATGTTACTGCTTGCAAATTAAGTTCTATATGGACACATTTCTACATTTTAAAGAAAAGATGAAGATTTATGATTTACAAAAATATGTTATACTTTTAAATGTCTGTTACCCAAATACATGTCACTTTTTTGTAATGTAGGATACCAGCCATACCGGTTTGGGCTGATTATCTACAACTCCTGGATATTAGGACATAGCTCAGACAAACACGAGCTGCATAATAAACAAAACTTCTGCTGATAATTGATCTCGGTTTCAGTCACATGTTAAGAGATATTATGGGAACTCTGCACAGTCTTCTGTGTTCACTTGTTTTGTTCTTCCCCAAAACATGTAGTCAGTGTCTCTATGGGCAACCCTTATAACAGAAATACATTATTTTCTCTACTGAATGGTGTCTCTTAAAGCAAGGATAAAGCACGTGTCCATACTCTCTACTAGTCCATGTGAAGAAAACCGTATGAATTGTAGGTGTAAGGCTCACGTAGTTAGGTTTTCAAAAGGACATGAATGTTTTTTTGCAGAAAACTGACCTCCAATTTCACTGAACAATCAGCTGGAGCAGCTAATTTGAAATATGCTGAGAAAAGACTCTTAACAAAATTAGTCTAAGCTTGGAGTATACAATGAATTGATAACTTTAGTCTCTTGCTGTCTGCCATTTGGCGTTTCTGACAATCATTATCATCTTCTATACTCAGAATTTAGCATTTCTTATTGTATGTGTTTATTTTAAAATGCTTTGGGAAGATGCTGGTTTAATTTTTCCTAATCTAATTTAAATGCAAATTGTAAGCACTCACATGATGCTGTGTGTATATAATTAAGTATCATTATATACTACATGAATCATTCAAAAAGCTCTAGAGAGCCATTCCGCTATGTAAAGCTTGACTTATATTGAAAAGCCGCCAAGTGACTTGTGGTTTTGTGATTAAGTGTTTGTACTTATGAAATCTCTCTTTGAATTATAGGTCAACAGATTATGGGACAACATATGAGAAACTGAATGATAAAGTTGGTCTGAAGACTATTTTGAGCTACTTGTATGTTTGTCCAACAAACAAGCGTAAGGTAGGTGATAATGTGATTGGCTCATTTTGACTTTTATGATGCAATTTCTGCCCCAGTTTTCTCAATATCTTTTACTATTTAAGTGTCTGGAAACTCTCTCTTTCTGTCTCTGTCCACTTGAAAAAAATATGTATCTTTACCAAAATATAAGACAACTTGTACCACCTATACTACCTGCCAGTCTACTTTAGGGAATATATGTTTACAGAAGATGGCCATTAAATGGATAGGCATAATAGGTATCAGGCATTTAATTGTTTGCTTACCTTCTGGATGGTGATGATTTTGTTGTCTGAAAGTGAGACAGACTCATTAAAATGGCAGAAATGCATCTACAGTGGCCAGATTGTCTGTAACATTATTTGTCTTTTAAGTGCTCCCAGTAGTGAACTGAACAGGATTTGACAAATTCCTGCAGAGAAAATACCTTCCAAAGCCCAGAAGGTTTTAATCATGTAAGCACCCTACTGACTAACAATTTACTAAGAATTTATAATGCTAACATGTTCATAAAGGAATCTGATGTCTTCTTTGAGATACATTTTTGATACATTTTTTGTGATTTGAAGGTATGCTGTAGGAAGTGACGAAGTAGAGTTCATAATGATGATGACAACTTGTATTGTCACATATGCTAACATGCTAGTAAACAATATTGTGTTTATTACTACTGGTGTTTTGGTGTGGAAACTAAAAAGCAGTTTAAATCATTCTGAACTTACTAGCAATTTCATTTCAGATTTCCTCATGTGTTGGTCCACAAAAAAAAAGAATGAAAATAAAATCAAAGCGTTATTAAATAAATGGCAGTGGTGATGCCATTGTGTCCTCTTGACTTATTAACTGTGAATCTACAGTGCACAGGCAGAGGGTAGAAGGCCCAAATCCAGTTCTTTACCAGAGGGAATATGAACCTGGATAGAGTAGTTTTCTCTCCTCATTTTTTGTCCTAGTGGACAGTTTGAGTTATTACAGGCAAAACTGAATTGCATCCGCAGAAATTTCTAGTGAAGACTCACCTCTAAAGGAGACTGTGCATATTTGGGCAGCTGAGGTCACTATGATGCTGTTTTCATTACACTGAAACGTTTATGTATTCTTAAGACAGGCTATGAAAGGAAGAGGAAGCTGTCTTAACCAAACCAAGGCTAATGCTTAAGCTTTGTTCTCTTGTAGTGCGTGTTTAACGCTTTGTTCAAAAGAAACAGGTGCTTCTAGGCCCGAGTCATTTGTCCTGTTAAGAAATTGATCCTAGGATGATAAAAATCACATCCTAATGTCACCTACTTTTCTCCAATTGACTGTAAGTGGAAAACTGTACCACCAGCTGAGGTGTAGACACGTGACAGGATATACTTGATCCTACCTTCTAGTCCCCCACCTGAGCCTGTGAATAATGTTTTTTTCATACTCAAGGAACCTTTCACTGATGTTCAAGGACGTTCTTCCTCCCTCTGGTAAAATAGTATTTGCAAACATTGGAACATAAAACTAGAGTGGACTTCTGGGATCACGCATTCTATTTCATTGCTGCAGGCAGCTCATGTGGTCCTAACATGACAGTTATCAAGTACTCTCTTAACAGTATTATGATTAATGGACTGTAGCTGTGGAATTCCAGTCCTTACCTATTCTGATGAATTTAGGTTTTGCTGGAAGACCCTCAGAAAAGTTGGCTGACACCTTTGTAATGCTACCTGATTCATTCCTCATACCTACCTGCGTTGCTGTGATTACATGAAACTGGTGAGAAAAACGATCATAATCAAAACAAAAAAAAAAAAGTATGGGCTCCTGATGGTAGTCAGATTAAGTTGAGATTTAATGGTCCCAAATTAGTGGAGAGATGTCGACTCATTGCAGCTGACCCCTGATGAAGATATGAAGCTTTTCACTAGAAGCTAAAGATCGAAATTATCAGATCACTCAAATATCATTCAGGTTTGAAAGGTTGGTCTCCTAACACAGAAACTGTGGTGTGGAGGCTATATAATCATGCCTGATGTTTGTTGGGGGAGTAATAATACTGTTCTGTAGAACTATGAAGGGATTTAGCTGGGCAAAATCTGCATGATCCCTTAGCTATTGTGGTGCAGAGAAACGTAAGAAGAAACTAAGGGGTTTGCAAGCATGTTAAGCCAACTAAATGCAGGCTGACTCTGAAAATACTTCACCACCTCTGGCTGCACCTTCCCTCTCCCTCCCTCATACTGCCACCCTTGTTTGTGTAGCCATCTGTTGAGCTGGATCGAGGACTAATCTGCCTGAAAACTAATCGCTTTCCAGCTCAGAAAACAAATAGATGAAAGGAAAAACCTGTCAGGTGGAAGGGTGGAAGTGCCTGTTCTGGCAGTAGACAGTGCTAAAGTTGGCCTAGAATCAATATGGGACAGTTCCAGAGGAAAGCTGCACCACCTGGGATGAAAGGACCTATGTAGTGGTCTGAGATTGAATTTTCCAGAACTCATTTCAGCAGGAGCAGAATTAGGCTTGCAGGCAGAACGTTTGGAGGCCCTGTTTATGCTATTTCTGTAGAATATCAGGCCATTATTCCAGTAAACATTTAACTTTAGGCACCTACCTAGTCCCCTGTGATTAAGAGGGCATGGGGAAGAGAGGGTAGAACTGTATTTCCACACTAAAATACTTTTGCAGTGAAAGCAAAAATAGTAAAACTCAGGGTATTTGTTATTCCTGCTGTCAAATGGAAAGCAGAAAGAAACATATTTACAAGTTTTACCACCAAGATAATTTTCAGCAAAAACTTATAGATCCTCAGACCTGATCCTGTGCCCCACCCCACCCCCTAAGTGCTGATACCACTGTGAGAAACTCTGGTTACTTTGAAAGTTTCATCTTCTTTCACTAATGTGGGCTGGGTAGGTAGCTGCAGATATTTTTTTAAAATGTAGGACTCAACTGCTCTAAAATCTATTAATTTTATAACACTCATGCTGTTTGTGTGAAGGGTTTATACATTGCTGGAGTTAATACTGGGCAAATGCTCACAACGTGTTTTCCCTAAATATTTGTTCTATGTGCTGAGTAATTATTCTGACTGTACCTGCAGCCTTCAATGTTCTTTGGTCCACAAGGCATTCCTCAACAGAAAGAAAAGGCTTCTTCAGTATTAGAAAAGGAAAGGTGCATTTTTTATCTTGAAGCTATTGGACAAGAGACCTTGCTACAACAGTGATTCATCAGTGGGGCCAGAATGTACTTAAACTTACTGAGGCTACCTTTTGAAAAAAAAAAAATCCCTTTAGCACATGCTTAACTTTCAGGAATAGTCCCACTAAAACAGAAGGTAAATGTTGAACTTTGCTGACTCAAGACTGATTGCTTCTAATGAAAAAGCCAAGTGTATCCTATACATAGTCTTGTCTGTTCCTTGCAAAGCTGAGCAGTTGGAACAATGAACTGCAGAATGCATGTAATTGGATTTATTCAAATAATTAATAGATTTGTCCGTGAACTTCTGATGATTTTCATATTCTGGAAAAGAACAAATAGCAACATGTGTTGAATAAATTGTTATAATTTATTTGCTCTTCTCCATCTAGAAAAAAAAATGTACAGGATTTGCAGAGCTTCCCACAGTCTATGAATGACAATTTCTTTCTAAAAGCTCCTGCTTCCAGTTCTTGTCTCTTTATTGAACAAAATTAAATCCTTTAACCAGGCATTGAAGGCAATGTTGTATTATAAAAGGGTGCTTTGAAAATAAAAATGAGAACAAAGTCAACTGTTATTTACAATTTAAACTGATGACCTATTGCTGTGTTTCTCTGAATTCCAGTTTTCTTTAATGAAACTACAGTAAAAGGTAACATAGTAATGTATAAACCCCATCAATGAGAGGTGGAAACCTTGTTTTTTGGTATTCTCTCCTTTCACTGAATTACTGTACTACCTGATCGTATAACTGATGACAGAGATCGGGGAGGTGCAGGGGTGTGTGTGTGGGGTGGCGATTGTAATGTGTGGATCTTGCCAAAGATGCAGAGCCTGTTTGAGTATTTGTCAACAAGTCTCCAGAAGTGAGAATCCCCAATGTGCAATAAATCCCTAGGCTTAGGTATGTCAACACTGGTTTATTTGTTAGGTTCATAGAGCCTTTTGTGAAGGTAAATAAAATTATTTAAATGCTTCTACATGAAGAAATAGTGTTTGGGAATAATGCATTGGTGGGTTAAAGACTAAACTAAAATAGAAATCCAAGTTGATATCTTGAAAATCCATTTTTGCAAAATTCTATCATTCACTTTCCTAGAAACTCACATGCAGAAAGTTTTATGGTCTTTGTCTATAAAAGCCTTTTAGATAACTTGCTTTTAAGCATTGCATGGAAAATCATAGACCTGTGCAAATAAAAAGTGAATGAGGCGTGCTGGGGACTCTACAATTGATTTAACTTGAGGTTTTCTTGGACTCAAAAAGTGCTGCTGACTAATTTAGACACTGTATCCTTGTACGAAGCACACTGTGTTCTTTGCAAAGAGCCAGTTTGTACAGCCTTTTCGTTCTTTGTACTTTCAAACCTCTTGTATCCTTCTATCTCCAGTTAATTAATAAACTGCTGGATGATAGTATCTGCCAGCAACTTTTATGCTATTATTGGAAGTAATGCATCAGGTATTTCCTGTGAATTTGAATTTTTGTGTTAGTTTGTTTTGTTTTGTTTTCTCTCCCCCCCTTTCTTTCAGCAAGCCTGCCTTGAATTTTCCCTTTATTCCTGCAACTGTTCAGATTTTAATTGCTGTGCAGTAGTGTCCTCTTTTCTTTCTCTCTAAAGATGAATGGATTACAGATGCCTTTCTCTTCTTTTATATTTAGTGGTCACGATTTGCACCTTTATCTCAGCATGTTAAGCATTGTCCTGTTGTGCGTGTAGCTCCACGATAATGGATATTTATTGTAAATATATTTGCATGGGTTTTAGTGCTGGCTAGATCCCCAGCTACTTCAAATTAATTTCTATTAATGAGTTTTAAATGAAA